TTTACTGTGATGTGGTTTATTTTGCTCTTGTTTAAAGCACCGGACCTGTTCTGGCTGAGAAGTTCTGAATGATTTGAACAAAGTCTTTAATGAACAGTTCAGAAAACACAAATAGGTACATGCGTGAATGCCTGTAGATGTTCTGAAACTCAGCCTGAGCTTTGAGACTTCTGTGATCAAGATGTATCTAACCAGGTTGTTTAAAGGACACCTTTGATCTTAATGAGAAGTCCTTCAATAGGATTTTTGTACATGCATTTGTTCAAGAACTCGTTAGATAGTCAGACTGGTCTCCTTCAGCCTGTAAATTTTCAACTGTGAAAACAGACACAGAATAATTAAATTGACAAATTCTCTGCTGATCTCAGGTTCTCTGCATTCTGCATGTGTATTCAGTTGTTGTATTCGGAACAAAGTTTGAAGACAGCAACTGCACTGTCTTAATGCACTTGTCTTAATCACTGTTTCCAAACACCAGCATGCCTACCTACAGGCTTTGAAGAGCATGTACATGCTACCATGAAACCAACAAGAAAGCTCCTTAGAGGTGCTTTTCATCATCGGTGTTTTATACAGGATTTGTAACCCTTAGCTTAGAGCTGTGAGGGCATTCATCTAAAGGGTGATGGCAGATTATGACATCTTTGGGTTAATAGCTCTTGATGTTACATCATTTTGTTTAACCCTTAGGACATTAGCTATCTCTTACGTTATTTTCTCTTTGGAGATGTTTCACAGTAGTAAGAGCAACTAGGTCAGAGAGCAAGAAATAACTTGGAGCACTAGTAAGTCCCTTCTGAGAGGCCTAGTCTTCCCATTCAGTGGGTCTGCTTTGGTTTTGTCCTGTTTGGGAAATGCTGTCTTGCCTGGCAGAGGGAATGCAGCCCCGTCCAGTGTGTTCCCCAGAAGCCGTCTTTTAGAGTATGTATGCATCAAGGAGCAATACTTTGACTAGCTAGCTCTATGCAAAACTGTTTTCAAATGCCCAACTTTCTCATTCATCACATACATCCTTCAGAAGGACCATGCCTACATGCTGTACAGTGAGGATCTGCACTTTGCATCCTACCAGGATTTGGCATGCTGTTACTCATCGTGGATGGTACCTGGAGTCTTTCACAAACACGTAAATGCTCTTCAGACTTGTCAGAAGTCAAACAAGTTATCTACTAGCAAAGTAGTCAATTTGTTGCTTACTCTCCTGATAAAGGGAATTGTTTAAGACTCGGGATAAAAATGTGGTATTTGGGCAAAAATCCATTTTCTTGTAATCTTGCCACAGGGAAAATAAGACTATGGGTGATGCTCAGTCACCATATCAGAAACTAGTCCTCCCTCCACATGTACTGGTGAAAAAGTGAATCTTTACCAGAAGACCAAAACTCTTGTTGCAAATGGCAATTTGAGCTTTAAATGAGCATTTAATGTATTTAGGCTACCTCAAATAAGATTAATTTCTGGAACACTGTAGAAACAATCTAATGGGAAAAGCCCTCTCCAGAAGGATCCACAGCCTTATTTCATGGTCGTCAGTAAACTGTGCTTTCTCTTTCAGGTCCTTCCTAGCCATCATGGGCTCAGATTAAAGGCAGGGAGCCTTCTGCTCTGTAGGTTCTCTGTCTCCTCCCCACTTATCTGGAGGACAGAAGGATAAAGCCCTTCTCTCCCACTGACTCAGGATTGCAGCCCTAATGTTCCTGAATGAAAATGGTTGTGTGTGAAGTGTTGCTGGGGCTCTGCTTGCTCACTGCAGCAGCTGAGCTCTGCGCAACTCACCATGATGTGTGGAAATAAGCTCAGCTGTTTATTTACAAATCACTTTGATGTCTGCATTGCGTGTCGGCTTCTAAACCACCCTGAGACCAACAGTGGTTCTCAGCACAGTGCCAGTGACCAGGCACAGGGCTTGGCAGCTGTCTGCATGCTAGCCCACCCAGAGCTGAGAGTGCAGATGGGTGTGTTTGGTATCGGGGAGGAAAGAGGATAATGGGAATGTTGCAGTGCTATCTGGATTGCTCAGGTGAGCTTTCGGCCTGTCAAAGAGAAAGCCCTGCCTTACTAGGCAAGACAGGGATCTCGGAGGATGCTGAAGGCCTCATCTGTGCTGCCTGCTTCTGTTCTTTGTATGTGTTGCTCTTGTTCCCTTCTGCCAAGAAGGTACCTCAGGAGGGCTGCAAGCTGCCTGCTCAGGTGCTACCAAACAGCTGCAGTCACAAGATCCTCCTGCCTCTTAACTGAACATGCCTGCACCTAAGAGACAGACAGGCAGACCTGCTCTAGGAGAGGCATGGTTCTTGTTCACATGGCATGAAGCAATTTCAAAATGAAAAATTTCACTACTGATTCCAGGAGTAAGTTAAGAATAAGAAATTATGTCAACATCAGCACCTTTACTCAGCTAATCCAACTCGCCTTTCAATCTCACAAGGGGTATTTAGAGACTTTTCCTCTTGCAATATAGTGTCTTACATAAAGGAGGTTTTGCTCAACAATTGCTAAAGCGTAGGTCAAACAAGCAGGTATTTTGTACTTGTAGTTCATCAAGCAGCTAACCACTGTACTCCATCTAAGAATGACAAATCCACAGGGAATATGCAGGCAAAGGATTCAGCAACAGTGAAACCATTGTCTGGAGCATGGGGAGGGATAAATTTATAAGGTGCCAAACATGGCTTTGCTGCTGAATAATGAGACTGAATGTCAACTTCTGTGCATTAGAAGCTAGAGCAAAAAATAACCTGCTTGTGTTACTGTGCTGTCTGTGTTCTGCTCTTGTTCTTGGCTTTATTGGTGGCTGCACCTAGTCTTTGCCCTTGCAACAGATAAAAGTTGCCTTCAGCATGTTCCTGTGCTGTTTATGTTCTGCTTGGTGATGCTACTGCCCAAAGTGGGGGATGAAAAATGAAAAGCAAGTGGCATGATGTTTCTGGAAAGTTCTCTGACTCGTGCTGGATGGCTGCTGAGCTGCAGGAACTGCAGGTGGGAATGTGAGATCTTCAAACACCTGTTGCTCTCTACAATTTCTTTTTTGTGTGTCTACTAATGCAGTCTTTCTGTGTGCATCTTTCACATGATGGCTGATCCCTGTTATAAATTCTGTCCTGTAAAAGTCTATTGCTGAAACAAATACAACATTTTCTCTGATCATTTGTAGGTCATGACCATGCCACTCTGTCTGTAAAACTGCTGTAACCTACAGCACAGCCTTCTAAAAAGTCTTTGCTTAGCCCAGGGAATAAGCTTCCCTGTATCTACAGGAATTCCCCTTTGAGAGTAACTGACCATAGTCAAAGATAGATAGTAAAGGCCACAATTAATAAATTAGAAACGTGTCTGCTGATAAGCAGGGAAATTATATGTTAAAATATACTACCAAGGATGGAGGGTGTCATCTTGGAAATATTCTTCCTCGGTTCATATGTTAAAGAAAGTTGCCATTTTGTGTTACATGGCAGGAATGGTAGAATCAAAAAAAGCCTTATCATTTTTCCTCAAGTTTTAGAAACCTGAAGAAACAGACTCAGAAATCACCAGACCTGAAAGATAATCTTGACCCTGTGCTAGTGTAACTTCAGGGCATCTACTCACAGTGTGCTCCATGATCAACAAGACTGGATGTGGTAACATTCCCATTTCAGCTCAAAGAGGAGCCTTTTAGAAATGTGCAACTGCAATCTCATCACCCATACTTCCTTTACGGATGATTAAGGTCACTTCTGTTAGAGGGAAGTGATCTTGGAGTGACCTATGTGGAGTGGAGGAGCATAAAGGATGTAGTGATTTCAGCAGAGGCCCTGTGTAGCAGCAAATTAATGGACAGCAATTTCTGCTCTGTCCTTTCATGTCACACACTAGCAAAGGCTTTTCCTCTGAAAATGGTAGTATAACTGCCCCCCCTATTTTTAATTTTTTTTTATTTTTTACTAGGACAGCTAAAAATTGGAGTACAGGAAAACTCAGCAAAGCATTGGAGCTTGGTTCTGCCAAGAATGCAAACAGGAGGGTAAGGAAAGAGCACTGGGAAGGAGAGTCTGTGCAGTCCTTGAGCTGCAGTCTTCCGGTTGGGGCAGGACTTCCTGGGAATACAAAAGTGAGACCTGTGCAAGGCACAGTGGGAGCCTATGCTGTTTACTTAGGTGTTCTCCCTGTGCAGGGTATGGCAAAACCACTGCTATTAAGAAACTCACAAGCCAGCCTTTCTCAAGAAACTTGCAAGTGCTCTGGAAAATGGGGAGCGTAAGTCAGGGATGGTGCAAAAATCACCAGGGGATTTTCATTCCCAAACGTCAAACTCTTTCCTGAATATCTCCCACTGCTGCATTGTCAAATACAGAGTAAATGTCTCATCATGGCAAATGTTTGTCTCCTGTTTGAAGAGGCAGCAGTTAAGGAGCTGACTTGTGTACAGATGCAGTGATGTCTGCATGTCTGAGCTTTGCATGATGATCCTGTTGCATGTGTGTGAAGACATGACACTTGGATGTTAACACCACCCTGAGCGAATTGACCAGAGAGTGCAATGAGATACACTGTGTTCTGGGGATTTTGACTATGCTGTAGCCATTTTCAGCAGCATGACCTTAAGTGCAGGATTACCCAGAGCCCAGCTAGTCTCCAGCAGCAGCAGCCAGATGCTTCAGTCTATGGTGAAGAAGTCGCAACAGCTAACTGTTTGGGGTAAAGCTATTTCTGCCTGCTGTTGATGACGGAAACACCCTGCCCATCTCCTGGGGGGCGGGGCGAGCTGGGCTGGATGAGGCTGGTACCCAGCGGGCGGCAGGACCCCTCAGCCAGCCCACACGGGGGCGACGCA